TCACGTTTCCCCCTGGGGAGGGGGTAAACTTTACTATAGTTTACATAGGGAAATCACATTTTGGACAAACATTTGTTTAATTGCCATTGGAAGTAATTCAATTTGGGTTAGAATTATCAGTATTGGATAGCAGTTTGATAGTATGTGAATTTCATGAGCCTGGGGTCTCGCGTTTCCCCCTGGAGAAGGAGGGGGGGGGGGCAAAATTTGTTATGGTTTATAATGGCAAATGCTACTTTGAATATTACATGTTGATAACTTGATTGGAATTATAACCCTGAGTTGACAGTTTGATACTTTGTAAATTTTGAGCCATCCCTACCCCCAAGGGCTGTAGGGTGGGGCCTAATGGAGTCTGTGTGCTAAAATAAAATTTCTTCATTTTCCTTGTTTAGAATCAGAGGTGCTAGTTTCAAATACTTTTCAGTCTTAAATCTGCATGCTAGATATTGAATAAGGTGGTTTTATTGTTTTTTGTCACTTTGAATAATATTTCTGTTCATGTTAAAAACAAAAATCAACTCTCTGTATAAATATATCAGGTGACCGTGTTTCTTTTACATATTTGTATTTAGGTTATGTAGAACAAGGATATTGACTTCAGCAGTGGCTGTCAGTCATTGGTACAAAAACTTAAGGGTATGCTGTCAAAATGTCTGGTCAATAATCAGAGACACAAATATGGTAGGCTGTAGAGTTTGTTGGGGGAGGGAACTCTAAACACAAATCACCACTACAATGTTTACAGTAATACCTACTTGTTAGTGGAGGGAACTCTTAACACAAATCACCACTACAATGTTTACAGTTTTACCTCGGGAAGGGGAGGGAACTCTAAACACAAAACACCACTACAATGTTTACAGTATAGCCTGCTCGTTAGGGGAGGGAACTCTAAACACAAAACACCACTACAATGTTTACAGTATAACCTACTCGTTAGGGGAGGGAACTCTAAACACAAATCCCCACTACAATGTTTACAGTTTTACCTCGGGTGGGGAGGGAACTCTAAACACAAATCACCACTACAATGTTTACAGTTTTACCTCGGGAAGGGGAGGGAACTCTAAACACAAAACACCACTACAATGTTTACAGTATAACCTACTCGTTAGGGGAGGGAACTCTTAGCACAAATCACCACTACAATGTTTACAGTTTTACCTCGGGAAGGGGAGGGAACTCTAAACACAAATCACCACTACAATGTTTACAGTTTTACCTCGGGTAGGGGAGGGAACTCTAAACACAAATCACCACTACAATGTTTACAGTATTACCTACTCGTAAAACGGTTGTGGAAATAACTTGATATCTGTTCATGGCACCAGTCACACACTACACCAACTGCTAATTGATACTGACTTTGTGCTTATTCAGAACTAAACACATGGCTGCACAATTGGCGAAAGCCTTTGCGGAAAGGACAGTGGTAAAAAAGTACTGGGCCATCACGAAGGGCATTCCTCATCCCAAGGAAGGTGAGTAGAAAGTCATGATACCGATAGATGTAGAAGTAAGCTGATCAATCGTATAATTGGTCGTGTTTGGCAGTCATTTCATTTCATTACTTTTATCAACAGGGACTTGACACGTTCCTATGACCCGGAATGAAATAAATACCCCATGGTCCAATAATAAGTGATCTGGAGGTCAGACCATTGGTGGGTTTTTCGGTCACCTGAGCTTTGCTCAAGTGACCTATTCTAATCGCTTTTCGTCCGTCGTCGTCCGTCGTCCGTCGTCCGTTGTGCGTCGTGCGTCGTGCGTAAACTTTTACATTTTCAACTTCTTCTCAAGAACCAGTGGATGGATTTTTTTCAAACTTGGTCAGAATCATCCTTGGTAGATGAGGCTTCAAAATTGTAAAATTGGGATTCCTACCCCAACCCCTGGGGCCAGGGCGGGGCCCCAAAGGGAAAATTAATCAATATTTCAAAAATCTTCTTCTCCAGACTCAGAGGTACTACAGTGATTTTCTCTACGTGGAAAGAAAGATCATCAGGGGCTTTACTTAAATTGTAAATTTCAGGACCCCCGAGCTATCCGTTCTCCCTTGGGGAGGGGGTAAAGTTTACTATAGTTTATATAGGGAAATAACACTTTTGGGTATATTTTGACAACTTTCTGTAGGAAATTATTTTTACTTGGTGAGAATTATCCTTGGAGGTAGATGGTTTCAAATTGTAAAATTGAGATTCCTACCCCGACCCCTGGGGCCAGGGCGGGGCCCCAAAGGGAAAATTAATCAATATTTCAAAAATCTTCTTCTCCAGACTCAGAGGTACTACAGTGATTTTCTCTACGTGGAAAGAAAGATCATCAGGGGCTTTACTTAAATTGTAAATTTCAGGACCCCCGAGCTATCCGTTCTCCCTTGGGGAGGGGGTAAAGTTTACTATAGTTTATATAGGGAAATAACACTTTTGGGTATATTTTGACAACTTTCTGTAGGAAATTATTTTTACTTGGTGAGAATTATCCTTGGAGGTAGATGGTTTCAAATTGTAAAATTGAGATTCCTACCCCGACCCCTGGGGCCAGGGCGGGGCCCCAAAGGGAAAATTAATCAATATTTCAAAAATCTTCTTCTCCAGACTCAGAGGTACTACAGTGATTTTCTCTACGTGGAAAGAAAGATCATCAGGGGCTTTACTTAAATTGTAAATTTCAGGACCCCCGAGCTATCCGTTCTCCCTTGGGGAGGGGGTAAAGTTTACTATAGTTTATATAGGGAAATAACACTTTTGGGTATATTTTGACAACTTTCTGTAGGAAATTATTTTTACTTGGTGAGAATTATCCTTGGAGGTAGATGGTTTCAAATTGTAAAATTGAGATTCCTACCCCGACCCCTGGGGCCAGGGCGGGGCCCCAAAGGGAAAATTAATCAATATTTCAAAAATCTTCTTCTCCAGACTCAGAGGTACTACAGTGATTTTCTCTACGTGGAAAGAAAGATCATCAGGGGCTTTACTTAAATTGTAAATTTCAGGACCCCCGAGCTATCCGTTCTCCCTTGGGGAGGGGGTAAAGTTTACTATAGTTTATATAGGGAAATAACACTTTTGGGTATATTTTGACAACTTTCTGTAGGAAATTATTTTTACTTGGTGAGAATTATCCTTGGAGGTAGATGGTTTCAAATTGTAAAATTGAGATTCCTACCCCGACCCCTGGGGCCAGGGCGGGGCCCCAAAGGGAAAATTAATCAATATTTCAAAAATCTTCTTCTCCAGACTCAGAGGTACTACAGTGATTTTCTTTACGTGGAAAGAAAGATCATCAGGGGCTTTATTTAAATTGAAAATATCAGGACCCCGAGCTATCCGTTCTCCCTTAGGGAGGGGTTAACGTTTAATATAGTTTATATAGGGAAATAACACTTTTCGGTATATATTTTATCCATTTTCAGCAGAAAATTGCTCAAACTTAGTCAGAATCATCTTGGGTAAATGAGAGTTTTACTTTGTAAAATTAGGATTCCTGCCCCATCCCCAGGGGCTAGGGCGGGGCCCCAAAGGGAACATTTACCAATATTTTCAAATTCTTATCCATTGATGACATGACAAGTATTGTATTTCACTTAGTTTACATGCTGATTTCCACATCACATCTAAACAATAAAATAAAGCTACCAGTACCTATGATATAACTCAGGTGACCGCTAAGGCCCTTGGGCCTCTTGTTTTCATTCTGGGTCATAGGAACATGTCAAGTCCCTGTGCTTTTAACACATTCACCCCTGAAATTTCATGATGAGCTATTCCAACTTTTGAATTGGAAGAGTTCAAATGTATCTTTAGGGGTGAATGAGTTAACAAAGCATAAAATTTCAAATATGTTTCAAGTGCTTATGAATGTTTTTCAAGATGAAAGTCATTTTGTTATTTTCTATGTATAAATAAGAAAAAATGACCAATCAGAAAAAGGTTATGATCCGGTAAAGAGGTGTCTAGGAAGTCTCTTATAAAATGTTATACATTTGAGAAATATACCATGTTTTTTCTGTCTGGCAGGTATCATTGACATCCCAATGATGGAGGGTTCTGTAGACGGCAAAAAAAGGGTCAGTACAAAAGTGTCAGTTTTCTGGGAAATCTTCTGACATAATTATTTTTTTTCATTTTTCTGCAATTATCATAATTGTGAAAATATTTTTGTTTACCAAAGGGTAACTTTACTTAAAAATTACTTGGACCAGAAACAAATAATATCGTCAGGTGGTGGGCTATTCAAACCACCCTGTGTCCGTGGTCCTTCCGTCATTCCGTCCATCCTTAAACAATCTTGTTAGTGCTATTTCTGAGAAAGTGCCAGAGGGATCTTTCTGAAATTTCACAGGAAGGTTTCTCATGGTGCCTAGTTATGCATATCAAATTTTGGGACTGATCACAAAACCAAGATGGCTGACAGGCAGCCATCTTGAATTTGAGAGTTAAAGTTTGTTAGCTGGATATTTCTCCGAACGTACCAGAGGGATTTTTATGCAAATTTGATATAATAATAATAATAATATACAACATTTGATATAGCGCCCTATCTAGCTAACATAAGCCACTCTAAAGCGCTTTAAATGTAGGTTTCTCTTAGCTCTAAGTGGTACATGTTAACTTTTGAGACTTATCAGAGGAACAAGATGGCTGTCTGGCAAACTAATCAAACAGATAAGAGAAAAGTAGCGAAAAGATTGAACTGACATACAACGATGGTGGGCGCCAAGATGCCTCTGGGATCTCTTGTTTTTCATAATTATGATCCTACTTTGGAGGGCACCAAGATCCTACAATGGAGGGCACCAAGATCCTATTTGGGACCTCTTGCTTGACAAAATTTAAGAAAAAATACATGTTTTCAAAGGGAATACAGGTGAATTTTTGACTTCAAATTTGATATAAAAAAACACTGAATAAGCAAAACATGCTTTTATAGCCAATGGGATTGCAGTTTGATGATGATTCCGGGTCACATTTGTAGATGGTACTGAAACCCAACTTCTTGCCAGATGGAAGGATTGCCACTAAGTCGTCGGTAAAAACATTTAAGGCAGTGACCCATTACAAGGTTATATCAAGCAGAGATAACACAGCGCTCGTCGAGTGCCTTCCTCTCACAGGTATGTCTGCATTATGTACTGTCGCTTAATTTATCTTTGCCAATTTGTATTTTCATGTTTTGCTTCAAAATTCTATAAAGGTATTTCCAGGCATTGTGAATTTATAAAAAGAACAGTGACTTGTATAGTTACTTGAAATGTCTTAATAATGTCTTAATAATAATAATAATAATTTGAGGCTCTTATATACCGCTTTATCAGTAGTTCGTAAGTAGTCTGAAAGCAGTTCACAAATTATTATCCGTGGTTATCGGGCCTTTACCAACGAATACCTTTCTCAACTCCCTGGGAAGCATATAGCTGGTGCTGCCATTTCGGTGCTCACAGCTAACATTCAACAATTCTAGCACTGCCCAACCACGTACTCATTTACAGCTGAGTAGACTGGAACAAGCGGAGTAAAGAATCTTGCTCAAAGTTACAACACAGTGCCGTGCCGTGACTCGAACACGCAACCCTTCGGCCACAAGCCCGAAACTTATTTCTGTTAAGTTTAAGTTTTATATAATTATCTCTGATTAAACATCATGCCTCATTCCTTTAAAGTGACTACCAGTATGGTGTAGTAATAAATTGGAATCCTGAAAGCAGTTCAATGCTGAAGGTGAAGGGTACCATCAAGTTTAGATAATATTATTAACATGTATTCGTCATCATGAAATATTCAAGTCTTTCCTACAGAAATATTCTATATAAATCACAACCATATGATGCATTTTACAGAATTAGTGTTGTCAAAATTTTTAATATTTGAAAATATAGATGGAAAGTCAAAAAAATGTATAAACTTATGGGTTCTAACTCCGAAGCTTACACCGCTAATCCTACACTTACACCGCTAATCCTACACACTGCTAATCCTACACTTACACCGCTAATCCTACACCTACACCGCTAATCCTACACTTACACTGCTAATCCTACACTTACACCGCTAATTATCACGCACAGGAATTATCAATACACAACATCAAGGTGAGAGTCCGATTTATGGGCCGAACTGCCTGTGGGCAGAAACATTGAGAGCTTAACGTCTTAACGAGGAAAGTATCTCTAAGCCAGGAAAAACCTATTGGGCTTTTTACAGCATTCAATGTTCATGTGAATAAGGTGTAAAATACATCAGATACAACCACCATTCTAACACGATTTGTTTGCAATGCATGTTTTGATTGGATACAGACCGTGTTCTAATCTGCGATAGAATCATGATCAATCGTGTTAAGCTCCTCCCATCGCACTTTAGCCAAGCCCCGTTTCTAATCAAAACAATATGGCGTCAAGCTCGCCACCTAGTGCTGATAGGTCTAGCAGGCAACAGAACAGGAAGGACGGATGAAATGTATTTGTTGAATAAATGAAAAATAAATAGTAAATATTCCTTGTTCTAACCTCCATTTATTATTGAAGCGTTCCTTCCTTCCGTGTGTAGGCATCTAGTTCGATCCGAAACGAAACATTGCACATGTTGTACGAATTTTGCCCAAAACTTTTCACAGATCTAAACAAATAATCACCGATTTTGTCGATACGCACAGATTGGCATGCATACTGACATGGAAATGTAAGAATTTGGTCAATGTTAATCCAAATGTGTCGTATATGTAATGTTATTGCCAGTATAGCCACTCAAAACAACGAACTATCCCCTCAACTTCAAAGCTGCTAGGTTTTAAGTTAGTTGTTAAAGGGAAATTAAGTTGAGTAAAAACAAAGCTCTGAAAAGAACACTCCTGTGTGGTTTTAACTGATACAGTTGTACCCTTTAGACTGGATTTGTCAAGGAAACAAAATCCATTTTCATGTTTTTGTCATGTTCCATATTATAGGTGTAAGACACCAGCTTCGAGCTCACCTGTCGTTTGGACTAAACACACCAGTGTTGGGAGATCACAAGTATTCTAACCTCCTGAACTTTGCCCCACAGGTAAGAGACAATAGGTAGCACAATCCCTGCAGTTAGGGCGTAAGAATTGTACCTGCTGCCCCCATTGCATGATCGTAAGAGGCGACTAAATTTGGGATCTTATCTTTTCTCTTCTCTCTAAACAACTTTCTTCTTCCTAATGTTTCCCTTGACAATGCCTCACTTTTGGTCTTACGCCCTACCTGCAGGGATGGAGCCTGGACTGTGGTACTCCACACATTTTTAGCATCTCCTACATCTCATGGTGATGAGACGCACAAACGTTTTCAAAATATTTTGATCAGAATATCCTTTCACATATTACACGGAATTTTCATCCCTGCTAATATTTTCCAGACACTAAATAAAGTTCTACCTGGTGAAGTGAAACTGCCATTGAGTGTAGGTTTTACACAGGAACATGTCACTTTCTAACACCTTTTACATACAAAATGTACTTTTGATCCGAAGTAAACCATTCAGTAAACCAATGTTTGTATTGCTTCCAGAAACTGGACTCTACAACACTTCGGAAGCTTGGAGTACAACAAAGCAAAGTGCGCCATATTCCATTACATCTACACGCCATGTCCATCCTTATACCCGAGTTTCTGGACGGACGCAATCTGTTTGTCACTAGCAACTTGCCAAAACATTTTTGCAGGAGCATGAGAAATCTCAAACTGAAACCTGCAGGAGACAAACAGTAACAAATATCAAAATCTTGGGACATTATGGATTTTTTTCTCTCTGTATTGAATTGTCTCTCAAGCTCATTTCAGGAAAAGTCATGAAATTTCATGTGGTATGATTTCGGGTTTTTTTCACATGGATTGAACAGCATTTTTTAAAATTTTCATGTTGGTATGAACGCAAATCAGTTACATCCATATTGCATGAAGCCCACGATTGTAAATTCTGCAATAATTAACCTTAATCATTTGAACGTTTGACGCATGGGCATTTTCCATGTTATCCGAAGCGAAGCAACAAGACTCTCATTGAACAAGGTTAATCTATGATGTCATAAGTAAACCATGTGTTACGTCAGGAGAGTTTCTGCTTTCATACTCAAATCATATAGTGGGTTGCAGCGCAAATGTATTTATAGTTTAAACATTTTATTTGTGCCTTACTTTTGCGGTCAATCAAAATTGAAAATGAGGCAATGTTTAACATATTCACAGACTTGCCGTGAGGTTCCACTGCAATAGGAATAACACCATCTTCCTCACATTAGCAAATCCTATCTGACTTAAAGAGAAAAGGGTGTACTTTTACGCCACCTTCAACATTATAATCTTTTATTGAATTGGTCTTGTTAATCTTTGAATGAGTAGCTGTTCTGTTATTTTGAATATGAATGTACTAAGTAGGACATCGCTCTAAGTTTTACAATGTGATCATGGTGTTCTTCACAGACAGAAACAGTGATTTTATGTAAAAATAAATAAAGCATCAAGAATGAAAAGAAGTTGGATTGTTTTTTGCTTTTATTGAATTAATTTTATCAAATCTACATACACATAGGGGTTGGGGAGTAAGGGGGGTTAAAACACTGCTGCAGGGGACTTAGTCCCTGGGTCATATCTTAGAAAATGGCTAAGATTCTTGCATATATATTGATGGGCATGAAACACACTCGTACAACCACTAGGATTTAGGATTTGCCTTGAGAATGTCATCGACCCTGTGTTCTCCCTAGGTCATAACAAGGAACCAGTTAGGATCTCCAACCAATAGCTGATGCAATTGGTGGGCAATAAGAGAGCAACACAATCATGCTACCAGGATTATCTCTAAGGTCTGGCCCAGCCCTTGGGGACACATTCCTTGAACCATAACATGGGGTTGATATACCTATATACCATGGCTATGCTGCAAGAGACGAATACACTCCTACAACCAGGATTGGCCTTTACTCTTGGAACTTGGCCCTGGGGTGATAACATGGAAACGTTTTGAGACCCACATCCTATAACATATGCTGGTTAGGCGTGAAGAAATGAACACAGCCGTGTAACCAGGATAAGTTCAAGGATATGTGAACACCTGTGGACATGGAACCATGATATGTTGAAGGGTCTGTCCCAAATTCATGTGGACTTATAAAATAGTTTTAAGGCCGAAACATTGAACTAAGAACCGTGCCCAATACTATTACAATATACATACAAGTTTACAAAAGTTAGGTTGCACAATATAAACATATAACATTAATGAAAGCCTCAAATCAGGCGCATCGCTATTTTTAAAAATATGTGGTCTTTGCAAGGACACTAAAGATCGTTTTCTATGGTACGCCTGCTATTAATTCTAGCCTATAATGAATTTATTTCTATTTCTATTTTTTTTTTGTAACTCCATAATTTGTTTATTCTCGTATAAACACCTACAAAAACCCACTGAAATAAGGTTACAAGCTGAAGATTTTCTCGGTTGAAATGCTAAGAGTGATGATTATTACATTAATGCCTCCAAAGCATTACATGTGATACACACCCTACAGATGTTGTATTATTTAGGTTTCTCAGCCTTACTCTGGAGTATAACCGCCCACTTTATAAATATAGAAGTGCTACACCTCCGAAACACTGTAGTTCATGTTGGCATTAACTGTCACAATGTAGAGCAACAAAACAATACTACTGAAAACTTGACCAAGGTCCAGTCACAGGGGCACGCAACTACTATTAATAGTCTATACTGAAAGTCTAAAACAAGATCAATATCGATAGTAGTTGTGTGCCCCTGTGGTCTAGTCAAAGCCTGAAAGGTGTTACCAGGTCATTTACTGACCCACTCGACTATCCCTGGTCAGTAAGTGGTCTGCCATGTACTGACCCACTGTGCAGATATGTTTCAGGGATTAAACAGGTTTAAAGATTAGTGAAGGGAACAATACCGCCATACTTGGTCCCACACCTAAACCACAGGGACCTGAGAATTTGTTACAGTTATATTTGCACCTAAACTAGGGCGTTCAGAGTAAGTTTACATGTTTTAGGAGTTTAGATTGATTTTAGGTAAAAATGACATCCCCAATGATCATATATACGAGTATGAATATTGGGGTGTCATTTTTACCGAAAATCGATCTAAACCCCTAAAGCATTAGAATTACTCTGAACACCTTAGTCTAGGTCCAAATATTGCTGTAACCAATTATCAGGTCCCTGCGACCTTAACTAAATTAAGACAGAAAATGTTCCTTTACACATAAAGATAGAGAATCCTTATTGTATATCTTTCATCCTATACTGATCATATCCCATACTTTACTTGGTGGTTTGTCTTTTAATGATCTCATTCTCCATCACCATTGGTCGATCAAATGCTGAACCTTTAATGAGATCGGCTGTATGTATTATTGCACAAGTTTCTGAATTAGCCTGACCCATACAACAATCATACCTCTCCACAACCCACCTACCCATACCACACTCATACCTCTCCACAACCCCACCTACCCATACAACAATCATACCTCTCCACAACCCCACCTGCCCATACAACACTCATACCTCTCCACAACCCCACTTACCCATACAACACTCATACCTCTCCACAACCCCACCTACCCATACAATACTCATACCTCTCCACAACCCCACCTACCCATACAATTTTCATACCTCTCCACAACCACACCTACCCATACAACACTCATACCTCTCCACAACCCCCCCTACCCATACAATTCTCATACCTCTCCACAACCCCACCTACCCATACAACACTCATTCCTCTCCACAACCCCACCTACCCATACAACACTCATTCCTCTCCACAACCCCACCTACCCATACAACACTCATTCCTCTCCACAACCCCACCTACCCATACAACACTCATTCCTCTCCACAACCCCACCTACCCATACAACACTCATTCCTCTCCACAACCCCACCTACCCATACAACACTCATTCCTCTCCACAACCCCACCTACCCATACAACACTCATACCCCTCCACAACCCCACCTACCCATACAACAATCATACCTCTCCACAACCCCACCTACCCATACAACACTCATACCTCTCCACAACCCCACTTACCCACAAAATAATTAAAAAAAATGAAAGAACTTTTGTGACAAAAAACTCCAATATTCACGTCATCAAATTCTATCAACCAAATGTAATGATTGTTTATTGTTATTTATTAATAAACAGTTATGAGTGGATCGTTCAACGCTGTTCCTATTACCCACCTCCCGTCTGAGTAAATGGAGAAATCTTTTAGGTAGAAGATGCAGAAGTAATGTTTACATTGCATACCTCCTTAAGCTACATATTTAAATACCTAGGCTTGGTATAAGGGGATTAACAAGTTCTACATAGGATTAACACCAAGACCAACTAAACGTGTTTTAGTTTAATGGGTTCAAGTTGGATCAATTGTGTGAGGGGAGAGTGGGTGCATTATATTAAGTTACAGCTTTTATTATATCACGAATACGCTCAAACGTTTTAACAAACATCTGAATGTAATATTTTGAAATTTTCATCGTATAACCGGAATATAAAACTAGACTTTCGTATTAGTACATCTTATTTATGTTTTAGGAGTTTGAAATAACCAGACACAAAAGTAGATTTTAAATTCATTAAACCATAGCCATTTAGTAACTTATAATGATCTTTAAAGCAGCGCAGCAATCCAAGATGGTGACACACTCTGCTCGAAATATGAATGTTTTAATCTAATTTCACGAAAGATTTGCGAAAAGTTAAAAACCAAATCTGATATTTGACTGCACAGTTGTCTTTCTTCATACGCCCAAAATTCCTTTTTCTTTGTTTATGAAAAAAAAACCAACACTATTTGTGATCGCCCTTATGCCGCTGTGTCTTCAAATCGTTCAGGTTTAACAAGATTTCCATAACTATTTTTTACGTAGAGTTTACTAGGTTGGACGAACCCAAAACTAACACAAAAGTAGCGTGGAGAACTAGGCACTGGACTCGCAGTATTTTATAAACACAGGGTCAGAATGTAAATTGAGAATATAGTCACACTTGTTTAATCATGTCTCGCCTTCAATAAAACACTTGTGAAAAAAGACATGGTTAAATTTATCGCCGTCGGACGCCGACCTACTGACCAGGGCTTCGCTCTAATAACATTTATTTGGTTTTCACCCCGTATGTAAATATGAATTGTCGATATTTTCATCATTACCTAAATTGAACACAAAATATCCATATTCTTGGACTTACAATTATCACATTGTGGTAATATTTTAAAAAATACTCGCATTTCTTAACATAAATTTTTAAATAATTAATTTGATGATTTTCATTCACGTAAAACTAAGATGACAAAACAATGTATTACTTTATCCTGGTACGAATACTAATCCGTTAAGTCTTGGATTTGCTAATATGCCAAAATAGATTGGCGGTCCATCAAGCGATATCTTTCTCCAGAACATTGTCAACCTATTAAATCAAAACCAGCTTATTTCATACAAAAACTACATTTAAAAAATCATCTTAAATATCATTATTTAAATAATTTTGGATTTTTTTATGTAATCTTTAAATTGTGATCATTTTGGATTTGAAAACAAATGGAAATGTGGTGATAGATTGATAAAATATCGTTAAAAATTTAATGCGGTAAGACAACAATGCTTTAACATTTGAACTCGGCTTAATTTGTAAAATATATTACTTCATTTTCTGTCTACCAGTCTCCAATATGGGGTAGATCGGTTAATTGTAGGTTACGATACTCTGAAGGGAAAACGAAATATTTTGATAAAGACAGATATACAACATAGTTGTTTACATAAGAAGATGGATTTTCTTTGTGGAATTTTCGTCATTCTTGGAATTTTTACTTCGGCATCCGGACAATGTGAGTATAGATTTTTTTTATTTTTTTTTACAGGATTAATACCCTGCAGATTTTACATAATGTGAGTTTTTCTACTCACTTTTCTTGATTAAAATGTGAAAGTTTTTGTAAAATTCAAGTGTTCCCCTCTTTCCCCTCAGAATTTGTAATTTAAAAAAGAAACAAACAAAAAACTATCTTTGTACATTTGTTCACTGAAAAGTCCACATCGGGCGAAAAGAGTTTAGAAGAACGGCGTCGTCTGTTGTTTAGAATTTGGTGTAATTGATTTTTCAACAGTCAACAGAAGGTTGCGTACAATCATTTACATAGGATGTCTCAATATAATGCCCCTCATTTCATGTGTCATCTTGCTTATCGCCATAAGTTTTAATTGCAATATACTATATCGCCAAACTTCTCCATAAAGCCAGTGTTTTTACTAAACAGCTGATGTCGGTGTAACTTGTGTTTCATGTACAAGCGATTGAATTGTGAAATTGGTTGTTATATACTGTACACCTCGTTATAATGCCATCAATTTCCCAGTGAAATGTGGCAATAATTAGACATTGCGACGCAATCCTATTTTGTTTTATACACTTACAAACCCTAGTTACAGGGTGGTTACTGAAGCTCAACGCTGAAATACTGCCTTCTTGTCTTTAGAATGTAACATTTTACATCCAATAGTTCTAAGTTTAAATTGTGCGGGTTTTATGTAAATAACGTCGTATTTGTGAGCACCTTTGTTACGTGAAGTACGGCGACCAATGTCACGGGATATCTCCAGGTTGATTCTATTTAATTTATGACGTACATACCTCATAATTATTTACACCTTTTCTTCTGACAAATATATGGAAAAAGAGTTTTCCGAATAAAAAACCCCATAGATAGTGTAGATCCGGAATCCCTTAAACAGGCAACCAATCAATAGGTATCAAAAGCAGTAAGTAATAGTCAGAGTTTCCTCTGGCCCTGGCCCCAGACTTAGATATTTTGACATGTTCGGTAAGTGAGTGTTCCACTGTCATAATCCGGAATGACAGTTAATTATGTGCCTGATTCCGGATTAATAAAAAAAGGGGAAAACGGGAGAAAAGGAAATAAGTATAAAGAATTATGTTGGTTTGTCTTGGGGTTTATGGCATGGTAACAGTCAAGGTCATATGTCTAGGGAGACACAATAGCCAAGGTCATACGTCTAGGGAGACACAATAGCCAAGGTCATACGTCTAGGGAAACACAACAGCCAAGGTCATAGGTCTAGGGAGACACAATAGCCAAGGTCATACGTCTAGGGAGACACAACAGCCAAGGTCATACGTCTAGGAAAACACTAGCCAAGGTCATACTTCTAGGGAGACACAACAGCCAAGGTCATACGTCTGGGGAGACACAATAGCCAAGGTCATACGTCTAGGTAGACACAATAGCCAAGGTCATACGTCGAGGGAGACACAACAGCCAAGGTCATACGTCTAGGGAGACACTTCCGGAAAGCAAAGGTAAAACAGGCAAATACTATATAACAAGTGTGTTAAAATGGAGCGGCATGCCCGAACCTGCATGGGGTGGGCTACAACAGGCCTCTAGCTCGAACCTACAGGGGTAGGGAAACAACAGGCCTCTAGCCCGAACCTACAGGGGTAGGGTAACAACAGGCCACTAGCCCGAACTACAGGGGTAGGATAACAACATGCCACTAGCCCGAACCTACAGGGGTAGGGTACCAACAGTCCTCTAGCCCGAACCTACAGTGGTAGGGTAACAGCAGGCCTCTAGTCCGAACCTACAGGGGTAGGGTAACAACAGGCCTCTAGCTCGAACCTACAGGGGTAGGGTAACAACAGTCCTCTAACTCGAACCTACAGAGTTAGGGAAACAACAGGCCTCTAGCCCGAACCTACATGGGGAGGGTAACAACAGGCCACTAGCCCGAACCTACAGGGGTAGGGTAACAACAGCCCTCTAGCTCGAACCAACAGCGGTAGGGTAACAACAGCCATCTAGCTCGAACCTACAGGGGAAGGGTAACAACAGTCCTCTAACTCGAACCTACAGAGTTAGGGAAACAACAGGCCTCTAGCCCGAACCTACAGGGGTAGGGTAACAACAGCCCTCTAGCTCGAACCTACAGCGGTAGGGTAACAACAGCCATCTAGCTCGAACCTACAGGGGTAGGGTAACAACAGGCCTCTACCTCGAACCTACAGGGGTAGGGTAACAACAGCCCTCTGGCACGATACTACAGGGGTAGGGTAACATCAGGCCTCTAGCCCGAACCTACAGGGGGTGGGCTACAGCAGGCCTCTAGTCCGAACCTACAGGGGTAGGGTAACAACAGGCCACTAGCCCGAACCTACAGGGGTAGGGTAACAACAGCCCTCTGGCACGATACTACAGGGGTAGGGTAACATCAGGCCTCTAGCCCGAACCTACAGGGGGTGGGCTACAACAGGCGTCTAGTCCGAACCTACAGGGGTAGGGTAACAACAGGCCTCTGGCACGATACTACAGGGGGAGGGTAACAACAGGCCTCTAGTCCGAACCTACAGGGGGAGGGTAACAACAGGCCTCTAGTCCGAACCTACAGGGGTAGGGTAACAACAGGCCACTAGCCCGAACCTACAGGGGTAGGGTAACAACAGGCCTCTGGCACGATCCTACAGGGGTAGGGTAACAACAGGCCTCTACCTCGAACCTACAGGGGTAGGGTAACAACAGCCCTCTGGCACGATACTACAGGGGTAGGGTAACATCAGGCCTCTAGCCCGAACCTACAGGGGGTGGGCTACAGCAGGCCTCTAGTCCGAACCTACAGGGGTAGGGTAACAACAGGCCACTAGCCCGAACCTACAGGGGTAGGGTAACAACAGGCCTCGAGCTCGAACCTACAGGGGTAGGGTAACAACAGGCCACTAGCCCGAACCTACAGGGGTAGGATAACAACAGGCCTCTAGCCCGACCCTACAGGGGTAGGGTAACAACAGGCCTCTAGTCCGAACCTACAGGGGGAGGGTAACAACAGGCCTCTAGTCCGAACCTACAGGGGTAGGGTAACAACAGGCCACTAGCCCGAACCTACAGGGGTAGGATAACAACAGGCCTCTAGCCCGAACCTACAGGGGGTGGGCTACAGCAGGCCTCTAGTCCGAACCTACAGGGGTAGGGTAACAACAGGCCTCTACCTCGAACCTACAGGGGTAGGGTAACAACAGCCCTCTAGCCCGAACCTACAGGGGTAGGGTAACAACAGCCCTCTGGCACGATACTACAGGGGTAGGGTAACATCAGGCCTCTAGCCCGAACCTACAGGGGGTGGGCTACAGCAGGCCTCTAGTCCGAACCTACAGGGGTAGGGTAACAACAGGCCACTAGCCCGAACCTACAGGGGTAGGGTAACAACAGGCCACTAGCCCGAACCTACAGGGGTAGGGTAACAACAGGCCACTAGCCCGAACCTACAGGGGTAGGGTAACAACAGGCCTCTAGCTCGAACCTACAGGGGTAGGGTAACAACAGGCCTCTAGTCCGAACCTACAGTGGATTGGTTACATCAGGCCTCTAGCCCGAACCTACAGTGGTGGGTTACATCAGGCCTCTTGTCCGAACCTACAGTGGGTTGGTTACATCAGGCCTCTAGCCCGAACCTATAACGGGTGGGCTACAACAGGCCTCTAGCCCGAACCTACAGGGGCTAAAAGCAAAGAGGAATAAACGACAAATAAATGTGCTATAGTGTATGAAGCTATTTAATTATTGTTTATTTTTTACAGTCATTCCGTCTAGTTTCGCGTGTTCATCTCCGAATTCTACAACCTTCGTTTTTACCTGGGTCCGGCCGAACGACCCCACAAGTCAAGTCCAGGGCTACCATCTTACCATTTCTCGATCAGACGGTTTACAAGTGGACAACTTTCCGGTAAGTATACAGACTAGCATCTCACCAATAACTTCACCATCCCAATGTCAAGCTCTGGCCAGACTCTGATCATTTACATTTTGTCCTTAAAGACCTTCAATGTTACCTTATATTATCCCCTAAAAGGTATTTTCAGGACTGGAATGGCAAAAAAGCTTGCTTAGTACAATGTACTAAATTCTATATGGTCTTCAAAATGACAGCTTTCCTGGATGTATACTGACCTATAATTTAAACATTTCTATGGTGGCAGGTTTTTCAATACATAATACAATTTTCTGTTGCATTTGTTAGTGTTGAATTTTAGCATAAAGGGTCAAACTTATATCTAATATTACGATGTGCGTCACGAAATGCCAACTACCATCTAGAGAAGTATAACTTAGCATTGAAGCAAAGAGCGGGTTACGCAACAACAAAGCCTGTGTGCTGGAAATGGTCTGGAAAGATACGTTTTCAGAATAAAACTGCAAAATGTGTTTCTTAATTCTCTGCACCTATGGCTGGACACGGTACTTACTCAATCGGATCGCTGAGTCAAATATAAAGCCAAGATGGGAACTGGTCGGCTACATATACTCATATGCCTATATCAACCTTTTTGTTGTAAATCTCTTTATAAACACTTCCAAAAGAAATTACATTCATCGGAGGAGGCAAACATTTTAGTGATGTTGGAAAGCTCCATGTACATGATGTTGTTCTTATATTTAATTAACCAATACCTTCTGATACTAGAAACATAAGTCTACGTAATATATTTTTTTCGGGAAATACTTAAAAACAAAAACAAAACAAAGTGCATGTTTCGAGTAAAGCAAAATGACTGCGAAAGCCATTTTTTGATTCCTGTACATGGAATAAGCCAATAAGAATGAATTATTAAAATGTATTCACGTTATTTGTTACATAATTGTTGTATAATGAATAAACTTAATTCAAAACTTTCAGCAAATGGACATCCCCGGCTACTTGGTGCAGACCTACACTGTGAATGGCGTAGGCAAGTACGCCGTGTACACCGCCAACCTCCACTGCTACACCGGAAGTGGGGACGAACCTGACGTCACGATCGACTGTATGTCTATGACAGATGGTAAGTCTCGGAAGGGTTTGTTGTTTAGTAAAACACAACCCTTGGTAGTACCTTCCAAATAGGTCTATGATGATAGCTTATGATATGCGAATATTAAATTATATGCAAGTTCAAAGTTCATCACTAGAGGACGGCACTTACTTTCATAAAAGCAAACACCACTGTTTCTGGACTGCAACTAGGTCGGTAACAGCAACATCTACTTTATTTACTCTATATAAAAGTAATTGGTTAAATCGAATATATCCCTACTTTTTCCTGACTGTGTTTTAGTCCTGTGTGTTAGTCTTGAAACTAAAACAAACCTACACTCGGGTGTTTCCGCCGAGTCAATCAGGCGAGAGGTAGGCAGAACTTGTTACCGAAATCGGAAGCGACGCGCGAGGTGGGCGGAGCTTGCTACCGAACTCGGAAGCGACACGCGAGGTGGACGGAGCTTGCTACCGAACTCGGAAGCATTTGGCTTCATTGCCATCAAAGGGGTAGTTGGAACGTGAAGCTATACAGCTTATGGTTTACACATATTTTCTAGTTAAAACTATCTCTCCAGTGTGTATCGGTATAATAAAATGGTTAACGTATGGGGTTGATGGATATAGCAAGTTTCTGGTGTCCCTTGACCATGCCTATTTCCCTCGGCTTTGCCTCGTGAAATAGACCTGGTCTCGGGACACCAGAAACTTGCTATATCCCTCAACCCCATACTTTAACTGTATACTATTTTTACATAAGATCATTTCTGATATGTGGTAACAGTTGCTTTCATATTCGTTCAGTTATTATTTGTGGAAAGTGATTATGTCCATGTAAGGTCAAGTCATTGTTGGAGGACGGCATTTACTTCCGTGAAAGGCCAGTCAAAGTGAAGGGTTTAGAAAATCCATATAAGGTCAATGTCTGGTAAAAACGACGACAACACATTTCCATGTAACACAAAAGTCATAATTTGAAGAGAACAGTTGATTACATATCAGCAAAAATAGAGGACGATAATTAATTCCGTATAAAGTCAACGCCATCTATAGACGACGATGATGACAACACATTTATAGACGACGATGATGACGACACATTTATAGACGACGATGATGACGACACTAATATACTTTATAAGACGAAAGTTATAAAACGATAACAATTAATTCATATTTTAAAGTCAACGTCATCATTGGACGACCGCACTCACCTCCATATATCATTGAGTTACCTCCCTTTTAGACCCGAGTCTTTACAAAACTCTATCCGACATAACGCCCGAGTGATCTTCTTATATTCAGCCTATAATTTAATTACTTCGAATTATATTTCAAGATAAGAAACCACAGAAAGTATCCCAACATTTGTTTCTGTTTTTGTCATGTTTCCTCGTGATGTCCAGTTTGACACGTCTACCTTTGCTTTTTAAAGTTGCCCTAACCCAGCTTCAAATTATTTGTAATGTTTTTCCAGCCCCTAATGGAGCCCCAACTCTCGTCAACGCTACCGGCATTTCCTACTCCGAGGTTGATGTAGTTTGGAACGAAATTGCAGAGATTTACCGGAACGGCATACTTCTCGGTGAGTAACTGCAATATATACTGTCAATTACTGATTTTTTATCAATAATTTGAATGAATTGTTCATACTAAATAAATTACTAGAACTCGCATGTGAGCAATTTTAATAAATGAAAAAGAAAAATGATAATGACAATGAGTAAACTCGATGAAAACATTTTTTTTATGTAATTGAGTCATAAAATACCTCTCGGTAAACCCTGTTCTGTTCGAAGTAACTTTCAGAGTGGTATTCACATCTTGTTCGCAAACATTCTTTTATAAGTAATCTTTGTTATTGTATCATAGAGAATAGTTCTTCTCAAAACAGTCTCTGAATTTATATTTGTATTTTTGTCGTAACAGGCTACAAGATTGTGTATTTCGCACTGAATAACTGGACCCCCAAAACTATTGACGTCAGCAACACAACTTTCCATTACGTCATTGCCTCTCTCGATTATGACACCAAATATGTCGTGAGCGTTCTGGCGTATACCTCCACGGGAGACGGCCCACAAACTACCGACATCGACAAGACTTGGGGTATGTCACGTGACCAATTCAACTAAAATATATTTTTTTTAAAAAGAACTAGAAATCTGGGAACTGGAATATCAACCCCGGTCGGTATATTTTAATAGCATTACTTCTGCCCTCTGGGGGTGGGTGAGCGCCAGTGTTGGAACCAGGATCGTAAAATAGACATAGGACAGAATATGGTGTATTTTGACGCAACCCATGGTGAAAATGTCATTTGTCCGCGTCACATTCAAGTGTTAATTATTTGCTTGTTAAAAGCCGTTGAAGATACTGTACGTCTGGGATGTCTGTGTGTTGGATTGTGAAGTCCCGTAACATGATGGTGGCTGAATTATAACAGAGACTGTTCACCCGACTAGTTTTTTACGTTCTATTATAAATGTATCATCTTTTCACCATGTTTCCTATTTTACTTCAGGTCCTGCCACCACAGTAGCACGTAAGTATATACTTGTACACAAGTGTTATTTCATGAAATTAGTAAAAACTGTACATTGTTAGAAAATAGTGGAAAGCAAATTGAAACCGCATTATAAATCTTAAATTTCGATTTATTTTTTGCAAAGCATGAATAGACCAAGTATTACTGTTACGAGATGATCCCGGGGGTGGTAACTGTCCCCGTATGTGTATGTGTTACAGCTGTAGAGACCAAGCATTTCTGTTCCGAGATGATCCCGGGGGTGTTAACTGTACCCGTATGTGTATGTGTTACAGCTGTAGAGACCAAGTCTTACTGTTACGAGATGATCCCGGGGGTGGTAACTGTTCCCGTATGTGTATGTGTTACAGCTGAAGAGACCAAGTATAACTGTTACGAGATGATCCCGGGGGTGGTAACTGTTCCCGTATGTGTATGTGTTACAGCTGAAGAGACCAAGTATAACTGTTACGAGATGATCCCGGGGGTGGTAACTGTCCCCGTATGTGTATGTGTTACAGCTGTAGAGACCAAGTCTTACTGTTACGAGATGATCCCGGGGGTGGTAACTGTCCCCGTATGTGTATGTGTTACAGCTGTAGAGACCAAGCATTTCTGTTACGAGATGATTCCGGGGGTGGTAACTGTACCCGTATGTGTATGTGTTACAGCTGTAGAGGCCAAGTATAACTGTTACGAGATGATCCCGGGGGTGGTAACTGTTCCCGTATGTGTATGTGTTACAGCTGTAGAGACCAAGCATTTCTGTTCCGAGATGATCCCGGGGGTGTTACCTGTACCCGTATGTGTATGTGTTACAGCTGTAGAGGCCAAGTATAACTGTTACGAGATGATCCCGGGGGTGGTAACTGTCCCCGTATGTGTATGTGTTACAGCTGTAGAGACCAAGCATTACTGTTACGAGATGATTCCGGGGGTGGTAACTGTACCCGTATGTTTATGTGTTACAGCTGTAGAGACCAAGCATTTCTGTTACGATATGATTCCGGGGGTGGTAACTGTACCCGTATGTTTATGTATTACAGCTGTAGAGACCAAATATTACTGTTACGAGATGATCCCGGGGGTGGTAACTGTCCCCGTATGTGTATGTGTTACAGCTGTAGAGACCAAGCATTACTGTTACGAGATGATTCCGGGGGTGGTAACTGTACCCGTATGTGTATGTGTTACAGCTGTAGAGACCAAGCATTTCTGTTACGAGATGATTCCGGGGGTGGTAACTGTACCCGTATGTGTATGTGTTACAGCTGTAAAGACCAAGTATTACTGTTACGAGATGATCCAGGGGGTGGTAACTGTACCCGTATGTGTATGTATTACAGCTGTAGAGACCAAATATTACTGTTACGAGATGATCCCGGGGGTGGTAACTGTACCCGTATGTTTATGTATTACAGCTGTAGAGACCAAATATTACTGTTACGAGATGATCCCGGGGGTGGTAACTGTACCCGTATGTTTATGTGTTACAGCTGTAGAGACCAAGTATTACAGTTACGAGATGATCCCGGGGGTGGTAACTGTACCCGTATGTTTATGTGTTACAGCTGTAGAGACCAAGTATTACTGTTACGAGATGATCCCGGGGGTGATCGAAATCGGCTGGAATGGCATGCCGTGTACCATCTACATGGGCGTCATCGGTTTCCTTTTTGTCTTCGCTCTCATCTTCGGCCTTGCATGCTGTTGTAGTGGCTCTGGCGCTGCTGGCGCAGGCGTGTAAGTACAGAACTACACGTGATGTGCAGCGCCATCTATTTTTGTTATTCAATTTCCAATTGAGTATATAATCTAGGTATTCTACGAAAACGGGCATTATTTTTCTAATAGAAAAGTCGCTAGTAATATTTGTTTCGATTTGTTTTGTTCTAGGTTCCATTTGTTTCTCCCTCTTACGCCCATGTTTACCACCTCGACCGCTAGTTTTCGTGAAAAGCCCTCAATCTCATGATTTAGTCAAAAGTACTTTTTATGGCAACAAGTGACAAAAAACGTGTGCCCGATCCTATTGCTGTAAAAATAAAAAGTAATAAAATATGTTTAAACTAAAAACAATATCAGTTTATGCCAGAGGCACAATTTGGATTATAAATTACCTTTAACTTACAGATCCAAAGGCGTAGCCTGGTGTCGCATAGCTTAAGTTTTTCGCGTCTTGACATTTTTCGTTTCCAGAAAGAACAAAATATACATTCAGTATGAGCGAAGTTTATTTTCCAAACCTCCATTTTGTGTTGTTTCAGTGGCGGGGGAGTGGGTACAGGTGGTGGTTCTCGGGTTGAGCCATTCAACGAATACGACACCGACAGCGACGATGATGATGACGACGGTTATGCAAATAAGAAACCTCATAAATCGGCAAAGAGCACAGGACAAATCACATCACGTGACATCTGGTTAGCAAGTCCCGCCCCCGGAGATTTTGACGATAGTCACGACGATGTATCAAGCCCTGTACCGCCTCCGTCGACATTTATACCCCGTGTCGGCCCAATAGCGAAACCGGAACCAGCGAACAACAATCCTGCACCAAGTACCAATGTTAATGAGGGAGCCAAACCTGACAACACAACTGGAAGCAGCGATACAAACATTGTGGTTGAAGATGATGACGGCTTTATTTAGTTTCACAAGAACTAAAGATGTTTTAAAATTATTTCCCTTTCTACATCTCAAACGGAGCGCAGCGCAAGGACTCATGGGATAGACTGGCAGATGCTATCCGGTGCGTCATATCACCCGATATCATTGTGATGTCACATGGAACAATGTGATGGCGCCGTTTTCATTTTTGGACGATATGTAACAGTTAAGATTAATAGAATCTGTCACTCTTGCACATGTTTTGCATCACATAGGAATGATCGATTTTCTTCCTCGATAAAAAAGCACCGCGCCATCATGAATTAAGGGCCCATGAAATGGGTTTTAAATTTGTTTCTCTACAATATCATACAAGGCAAAACAGAGCAAAACTCCTTGCTTTATTGTATACCCATCACCCTAAAAATCACATGTTCACAACCAAGTGCAAATGCACTTGAAAAAGTAAATCACATGTATTGTAATCGATGGTCCAGGATTGAGAGTTGGTGGCCTGACAATGTTAACGCTGTAGTGGTGTCTCCTCTCGATGGGCCAGGATTGAGAGTTGGTGGCCTGACAATGTTAACGCTGTAGTGGTGTCTCCTCTCGATGGGCCAGGATTGAGAGTTGGTGGCCTGACAATGTTAACGCTGTAGTGGTGTCTCCTCTCGATGGGCCAGGATTGAGAGTTGGTGGCCTGACAATGTTAACGCTGTAGTGGTGTCTCCTCTCGATGGGCCAGGATTGAGAGTTGGTGGCCTGACAATGTTAACGCTGTAGTGGTGTCTCCTCTCGATGGGCCAGGATTGAGAGTTGGTGGCCTGACAATGTTAACGCTGTAGTGGTGTCTCCTCTCGATGGGCCAGGATTGAGAGTTGGTGGCCTGACAATGTTAACGCTGTAGTGGTGTCTCCTCTCGATGGGCCAGGATTGAGAGTTGGTGGCCTGACAATGTTAACGCTGTAGTGGTGTCTCCTCTCGATGGGCCAGGATTGAGAGTTGGTGGCCTGACAATGTTAACGCTGTAGTGGTGTCTCCTCTCGATGGGCCAGGATTGAGAGTTGGTGGCCTGACAATGTTAACGCTGTAGTGGTGTCTCCTCTCGATGGGCCAGGATTGAGAGTTGGTGGCCTGACAATGTTAACGCTGTAGTGGTGTCTCCTCTCGATGGGCCAGGATTGAGAGTTGGTGGCCTGACAATGTTAACGCTGTAGTGGTGTCTCCTCTCGATGGGCCAGGATTGAGAGTTGGTGGCCTGACAATGTTAACGCTGTAGTGGTGTCTCCTCTCGATGGGCCAGGATTGAGAGTTGGTGGCCTGACAATGTTAACGCTGTAGTGGTGTCTCCTCTCGATGGGCCAGGATTGAGAGTTGGTGGCCTGACAATGTTAACGCTGTAGTGGTGTCTCCTCTCGATGGGTCAGGATTGAGAGTTGGTGGCCTGACAATGTTAACGCTGTAGTGGTGTCTCCTCTCGATGGGCCAGGATTGAGAGTTGGTGGCTAGACAATGTTAACGCTGGCTGCAGCTACATAGCAGCTCAGCAAAAGCACATAATTTGAAATTTGAAATCGAAGCCACGGTTATCATAGCAAGTAGAGCTAGCATGATTACGCTTTTATATGATTCGATGGTAATGTCTATAATTATTTACATATACATAACTACATATGCGTACTGATTTCAAAATGATGTTCACTGATCTGCTGTACCAGTCTTTCAAAATGTCAGCGGAGGACATGCAACTTGATGAAGAATCCGAACATACACATGATGCAAATACCCTTTTTGGGGAGTCAGTTTAAACACGTGATTCACAATACGTACTGAGATGGTGTGCTGATAACGAGCATCCCTTTTTCGAGGGACGAACACCTTTTTATATGGATATGTTATGATGCTAGAAAGTTTATATCTTATCGGTATACAATAAAATTCATTTCTCTCTTGGAAATATTGTGATTTGTGTGTGAACGTATATACTGTTGGAGGTCCCTTCCTAATTTTGAAAACTTCCTAAACGCCTCGATGGCGTACTATAACGTACATCTGAGTGTTTCTTCCTGATAATTCTATGGTGGCCGGTAAGGGCCGAATTATAAATCTCGCCGAAATCTCGCCGAATTACAAATCTCGCCATCTCGTCCCTCGACATAGAGTGGAAAACGCGGAAACGCAAAACTACGACGGCGAGGGAGTGAGACTAATCTTGCTCCCTGGCCATCGTATTTTCGCTCCCTCGTCATCGTAATTTTGCGTTTCCGCTCCCTCTTATTCGCGTGTAAAGAAGTTGTAAAAGATTCAGAAAGGAACAGGAACAGTCAACTATTTGTAAAAACAAACCATCCATGATATTCTAAACCTTAGCACACAGAACAAGGAAATATCCACATTAGGGATTAATACTAGTATGCGCAAGGAACGATGAAGTGTGACTGACAAGGGGCACTACTAAGTGCATAGAATATATTTTCATGTTGACTGTACATTTGTTTTAAGGGCCATATCCGGCCTCATCGGGGATTTATAATTAGTTAATTGTTATATTCGTAATCTGAAATAAATGAAGTACGCAAATATGAAATTTCAAATTCATTCAACAACTAGTTTAGGAGATATGGCAATACAAAAAGAGACGTAAACGCGCATTTTCATAATAAAATGTGTGAATATCGTCTGGTGTGCGCTATTTGTTTGAAAATTGGCCATTTTGAAGGAAATTAACTAAACACTCTTCAATCTTTGCATACCTCCGCATGCAACAAACAAATAAATAGTTGACATGATTAAACATTGTTATACCAATGTTCATTCGTAAGAATTTTTGTTTGTCACATGCGGAGGCTTTTATTTCTGCATGTTTACTGACCAAAAACACCCTATTTTGGCTATTTCGTTGCTATAGAAGGGCATCTACGCATGCGCACTGGGGAAAATCTACACCAAGAAAGATGGCCCCAATTAACCAATATGATGTGTATAACAGAAAATCATAAAACGGAAGTGTTAAGCAGACTAGAAGTATTTGATCAATAGGATTGATATACATCACATCTGGAAGGTCTTCTGCCTTCCATACTCTTAATTAGTGTGAAGCTCAGTAAAATATATATTGCCCTAAGCGTGTCCGTGATCTCCGCCTGTGACGCAGGTCAGTACGTGCCTCATGCTATGCAGCAGTTTCCATTTACTATATTTTTTCTGTTACCATGGAAAACACACAAGTTTGTAAAACATTTTCACTGCAGACTTATATTGAAATACTTTGTTTAAAGTCTAATTTCCTAATACAGAAGTCAGAGATAAAGTTGGAGGTCTGAAATTTAGATTTAAATGAATTGCAATAAAACTGATAAACAAACTAACTATAAAACCAACCCTGAATTTGGCAAAATCTTTTCTAAATCTCCCTGGGCGAGGTATCGGAACGACTACGTCCTTATTTAACCAATTTTTCATGTTGCTCACTATATTGGAAAGGATACCTGCGACCCACAAGTATTATTCATATTAACGGAGGATAAAGTACCTTATTATTNTGATGAGACAAGAGGACTAGTTCGATCCTCAGCCGAGCGATGAGACAAGATGATTAGTTCGATCCTTTGATGTATCGCGGCCGCGTAACGGTAAAAATTGACTGGCTTTTAAGTCGGGCGTCGCTCTTTTGTAGTCTTCAAAGGACAGGTATCAGCCTAACGATTGGTCAGGTTATTTTACCCGAGATCAATCGAATTACTAGCAACATGCCTTTAATTTTGCTATGTTTCCTGTTAACTCACATATGAGTGTAGTACTACTTGTTGACTCACATATGAGTGTAGTACTACTTGTTGACTCACAATTGAGAAAAGTACTCTACCCATTGACTCATAATTAAGTTTGATATATCTCATGTTGACTCGAAACAAATATGATGCATTCCATATTGACTGCCAATTAAAGGTGGTATTATTTCTGTTGACTCGCCCTGTTCTGTCAATGTTAACTCGCATTAGTACAATTCCTGTTGAACCAACAAAGTACAATATTTTCCATATTGAAATGCAAGTAAGGTTACTTTTCACTCCCAGTTGAGTACAGTACTTTCAAATAACACCTTATTTTGTCTCAAAAAGGTATACGAAAATGTTCATGTTGACCATAACAGTTATATAGTGAGTAAGTAGGTTACTTTGTTGACAGACATTAATATCTATGTTGACTATTACAGTTATATAGTGAGTGAGTAGGATACTTTGTTGACAGACATTCATTTCTATGTTGACTATTACTGTTATATAGTGAGCAAGTAGGATATTTTGTTGACAGACATTAATTTCTATGTTGACTATTACTGTTATTAGCTCACCTGGTCCAAAGGACCATGGTGAGCTTATGCCATACCGTGGCGTCCGTCGTACGTCCGTCCGTCCGTCGTCCGTCGTCCGTCCGTCAACAATTTCTTTAAACGACTTCTTCTTCTTAACCACTGATTGGAATTTACCTAAATTTGACTAGAAGCATCCTTAGTTGCAGACCGTGGCGTCCGTCGTCCGTCCGTCCGTCCGTCGTCCGTCCGTCAACAATTTCTTTAAACGACTTCTTCTTAACCACTGATTGGAATTTACCTAAATTTGACTGGAAGCATCCTTAGGTGGTGGGGAATTAAAATTGTACAAATGGTGGGGCTGACCCCCCAGGGGGCTGAGGGGCGGGGCCAAAAAGGGGGCAATTTGGCTATATTGCTTTAAGCGACTTCTTCTCTGGAACTAAGAGATGGATATCAACCATATTTGCCTGGAAGCATCCCTAGGTGGTGGAGATTCAAAATTGTACAAATGGTTGGGCTGACCCCCCAGGGGGCTGAGGGGTGGGCCAAAAGGGGGCATTTTGGCTAGATTGCTATAAACGACTTCTTCTGTAAAACTATGCCATGGATATCGATCATATTGGTCGGAAGCATTCATGGGAGACAGGGATTCAAAATTGTACAAATGGTGGGGCTGACCCCCTGGGCTAAGGGGTGGGACCAAAAAAAGTTTATTGCCTGGAAATGGTTGAGATCCCCACCATATAACCACATATACAATTGCTGAGTATAAAGAGAAGAATGTACATTTGCTTCCAGGATGGCTCTAGGGTCTGGCCCCACCCTTGGAAACATAGTCCTTGGGCCATAACTTTAAAACGGCTGAGATCCCCACTCAAAAACTATTATATACAAATGCTGGGCATAAAGAGACGAATGCAGTCTCAATATTAGAATAGACCCTGGGGTCTGACCGAACCCCTAGGGACCTAGTTTCTTGGTCACAGCTTGGAAACAGTTGAGATCCCCACCCTATAACCATATAGACAATTGCCGATTACAAAGAGATGAATGCACATATGCTTCCAGGATAGCCTTGGGGACTGCCCCACCCTTGGAGACTTAACCCCTGGGTCATAACTTTGAAATGGTTAAGATCCCCTACCCAAAACTATATATACAATTGTTGGGCATAAAGAGACAAATGCAGTCATGATATTAGAATTGACCCCAGGGTTTGCCCCACCCTTGCAGACTTAACCCCTGGGTCATAACTTTGAAACGGTTGAAATCCCCACCCCAAAACTATATATACAAATGCTGGGCAAAAAGAGACAAATGCAGTCATGATATTAGAATTGATCCTGGGGTCTGGCCACAACCGTAGGGACCTAGTTTCTGCGTCACAGCTTGGAAACAGTTGAGATCCCCACCCCATAACCATACATAAAATTGCTGGGCATGAAAAATTGAATACAGATATATATGCTACAAGGATTGGCCTTGGGGTCTGGCATATTCCCTTGGATCTCATTTGGAGAATATTCTGCCATGATTGCTTAGATATCCAGGTGAGCGATACATGCCCTATGGGCCTCTTGTATAATGAGTGAGTAGGATACTTTGTTAACAGACATTAATTTCTATGTTCACTATTACTGTTAAATAGTGAGCAAGTAGGATATTTTGTTGACAGACATTAATTTCTATGTTCACTATTACAGTTATATAGTGAGCAAGAAGGATATTTTGTTGACAGAGACATTAATTTCTATGTTCACTATTACAGTTATGTAGTGAGTGAGAAGGATACTTTGTAGACAGAGACATTAATTTCTATGTTCACTATTACAGTTATATAGTGAGTGAGTAGGATACTTTGTAGACAGACATTAATTTCTATGTTCACTATTACAGTTATATAGTGAGCGAGTAGGATACTTTGTTGACAGACATTAATTTCTATGTTGACTATTACAGTTATATAGTGAGTGAGTAGGATACTTTGGTGACAGACATTAATTTCTATGTTGACTATTACAGTTATATAGTGAGTGAGTAGGATACTTTGTTGACAGACATTAATTTCTATGTTGACTATTACAGTTATATAGTGAGCGAGTAGGATACTTTGTTGACAGACATTAATTTCTATGTTGACTATTACAGTTATATAGTGAGCGAGTAGGATACTTTGTTGACAGACATTAATTTCTATGTTGACTATTACAGTTATATAGTGAGCGAGTAGGATACTTTGTTGACAGAGACATTAATTTCTATGTTGACCATTACAGTTATATAGTGAGTGAGTAGGATACTTTGTTGACAGAGACATTAATTTCTATGTTGACTATTACAGTTATATAGTGAGTAAGTAGGATACTTTGTTGACAGACATTCATTTCTATGTTGACAGACATTCATTTCTATGTTGACTATTACAGTTACATAGTGAGTGAGTAGAATGCTTGCTGACAGAGACATTCATTTCTATGTTGACAAACACCTAAACATCGTACTTTTCTCGTTGAATAACTAGCGAGTTTAATATAGGCTGCAATGTTATTTTGATTTTTAGCTCACCTGGCACGAAGTGCCAAGTGAGCTTATGCCGTGGCACGGCGTCCGTCCGTCGTCAATATTTTACTTTAAACGACATCTTCTTAATAACCAAA